GGGGGATTCCTCCACATATTGATTCCTTATGTGGAAGGGACCTCCACATGTTGATTTCGTCTGTGGAAGGACTTCCACATATTCATTTCTTAGGTCAAAGGGGTCTCCACATGGATTTCTTATGTGGATGGGCCTTCGAATATAGATTCGTTATGTGGAGTGGCCTCCACATATTGAGTTTGTCTGTGGAGGGACCGCCGCATATTGATTCCTTATGTGCAAGGGTCTCCATATTGATATCCTGTGTGGAGGGGCCTCCAACATGTTGAATCCTTACGTGGGAGGGGCCTTCATAGATGAGTTCCTTATGTGAAGGAGCCTGTACACATTGATTCCTTATGTGGGAGGCCCTTCACATATCGACCCCTTATGTGGAGGGGCCTCCACATGGATCCCTTGTGTGGAGTAGGAGGGAAAAGATGATGAGGAGGAGGAAGAGTAGGAGGCGGAGGTGGACACGGGGGAAGCGGATTTACATATCGATTCCTTTTGTGGCGGGGAAACCCCGAGGGGCCGAACGGGAGAGCGAACAACAGAAAAAAATAATAATATGCAAAACAAACATGTGTTTTCACATGGCAAAAAGAAATAAACTCCGCCTCCGAGGGCGGGGAGGAAGAAAAAAGGAAAAAACATCTCTCCTCCGTCTCCTCGAGAAAAAAGGAAAAACTTCGCCTTAGAGGGCGGGGAGGGTGGAAACAGGAAAAAAACGCCCTGCCCTTGTCTGTTTTCTCCATTTGGGGAGACGGGGGAGGAGGAAAGGGGAGAGGGGTAGGCTGAGGAGACGGAGGAGGGTGTTTTTTTTATTGGTTTCCTCCTCCCCGCCCTCGGAGGCGGAGTCTTTCCTTTTTTCTTTGTGAAACCAGAGGTTTGTTTATATGTTTTATATTTTTCCTGTTTGTCTGTCTCCCGTTCGGCCCCTCAAGGTTTCCCCGCCGCCCCAGGGGGGGAGCGAAAAACAGGGGACAAAAGAAACAATAGTAAAACACCTGTGTTTTTTTCACATGGAAAAAAGGAAAACAAAAAAAAAAACTCCGCCTCCGAGGGCAGGGAGACGGGAAACAAAGAAAACATACCCTCCTCCGTCTACTCCGCTTACTCCTCCGCTTCCTCCTCTCCCGTCTCCCCAAATGACGAAAACAGACAAGGGCAGGGCGTTTGTTTTCATTGTTCCACCCTCCCCGCCCTCTGAGGCGAAGTTTTCTCTTCTTTCTCGAGGAGACGGAGGAGAAGTGTTTTTTGTGTTGTTCCTCCCCTCCGCCCTCGAAGGGGGAGTTTTTTTCTCATTTTTCAATGTGAAAATACAAGTGTTTTCCAATGTTTCCTTTTTCCTAATTTTTCTGTCTCCAGTTCGGCCCCCGCGGACAACCCCCTCCGTCTCCTCCGCTTACTCCCCCCCCTACTCCTCTCCCCCGAGATGAGGAGAAGGAGGAGGAAGAGGAGGAGGAGGACGACGACGACGACGAAATGTATGATCACAGTGGGGGGCCACCATATATATATATATACATATATGTATGTATGTATGTATGTATGTATGTATGTATGTATGTATGTATGTATGTATGTATGTATGTATGTATATACATATATATAGACCTGTATATCTGTACATATCAATCCACATCTACGGTCCGCCGAGGCCTCCGACGCTAGATACCCCACAGGCGGTGGTCATGTGCAAACCCCCGCATCGGGGCGGGGGCTCCTCGGCAACCCGCCCGCCCTCTACACGAACAGAGGGCCGGGGGGATGCCCCCCAAGAAAAAGCAAAGCTCCACGCAGACCTCCGAGCAAGGCTCGAACTAAACAGTGCGTCCCGTGTTCGGTTTGTGGAGGCCTCCTAGACGGGATCCGAGTAGATGGGGTCGGGGGATCGCGCCGCACCGCCGATGCATCGGGGATGCATCGGCGACGTCGGCATGGAGAAAATCGGGCCCCGCATCGAGCTGCATCGCCGATGCATCGGCGATGTGGCGCGATCCTCCGATCCCATCTGCACAGACCCCATCTGGGCGGCCTACGAGTTTTGTTCTCGGGTTCCCTCGTTCTGTCTTCGTCCCCTCTTTGCAGGAGAGCCTGGGTAGTCGAAGCCAATCTGGCGCCAATCTGGCAGGCCCAATCTGGCAAACGGGGGCAATCTGGCGAGGGAGCCAACGCGAACCCAGTCTGGCGAATAACCCAAATCATCCAGTTTGGCCAGGCCAGATTGGCCCTTGGGGCCCAATCCAGTCTGACAGTCTGGCCTTCGACTACCCAGAGAGCCCAGACTTGAATCGGTAATTCGGATTGGCGATCCACATGAATCGGATCGGCAGGAATCGGCAGCCGAGTCGGGAGAAGCCGAATCGGCGGATATCGGCAAACTACTGTGCCTCCACTTGGGAAACCGGAACCCAGATCGGCACCCGAAATCGCAATCCGAAATAGGAATCGAAACCCATCGAAATCGAATCGGAGGAATCGAAATGAGCCCTCTCTGTTGCATCAGGTCGGGCATGTCCCCCTGCAGGCGGATTTTGAGCGAAACAAGAAAATAGTTAAACCATACCCCCAACTAGTCAAACCAATTTTAAACATCGTCTCCTGACTATGTTGAACATATTTTTGAATACTCTCCTGTAGAGGGGCACGCCCGACTCAACTGTTGCAACACGGAGTCAAAACGAACACGGTACACGAAGTCGCTCCAACGGCGTGTGCCTCGAGACCTGCCTCCCAGGGTGGGGCGGGACGCCTCCGAGAAGCGCCCCCCTGGGCCGCAAGCCGCACGTGCCCCCCCCCCCCCCATCCGCCCTGCCCCCGACTGGCCTCCTCCTCCTCCTCCTCCTGCTCCTCCTGCTCCTCCTCCTCCTCCACCCTTCTCCTCGTCCTCCTCCTCCTCCTCCTCCTCCACCCTTCTCCTTCTCCTCCTCCTCCTCCTCCTCCACCACCACCAGCTCCTCCTCCTCCTCCTCCTCCTCCTCCCTCCTCCTCCTCCTCCTCCTCTTCCCTCCTCCCTCCTCCCTCCTCCCCTCCTTCTCCTCCTTCTCCTCCTTCTCCTCCTTCTCCTCCTTCTCCTCCTTCTCCTCCTTCTCCTCCCTTCTCCTCCTTCATCCCTCCTCCTCCTCCTCCTCCTCCTCCTCCTCCTCCTCCTCCTCCTCCTCCTCCACCTCCCTCCTCCTCCTCCTCCTCCTCCTCCTCCTCCTCCTGCTCCTCCTCCTCCTCCTCCTCCTCCTCTCCCTCCTCCTCCTCCTCCTCCTCCTCCTCCTCCTCCTCCTCCTCCCCCTTCGCCTCTACCACCCGCCCGATGCTCTCCCCCCTGCTTGAGCCCTGCCCCCCCCCTCCTCCCCCGCCTCCTTCCCCGCCCTCCTCCTCCTCCTCTCCTCGTCCTCCTCCTCCTCCCCCTTCGCCTCTACTACCCGCCCGAAGCTCTCCCCCCTGCTTGAGCCCTCCCTCCCCTCCTCCCCCGCCTCCTTTCCCTCCCTCCTCCCCCTCCTCCTCGTCCTCCTCCTCCTCCTTTTTCCTCCTCCTCCTCCTCCTCCTCCTCCTCCCTCCTCCGCCTCCTCCTCCTCCTCCTCCTCCTCCTCCTCTCCTCCTCTCCTCTATCTCCTCCTTCTCCCTCCTCCTCCTCCTCCTCCTCCTCCTCCTCCTCCTGCTCCTCCAGCAATCAGAGGTATGAATGCGCCTGCTCACGAGCGGCGATCGTATCCATAATCATCCGCGCCCGCGCGGACTGGATTCCGGGGCGAAATGCCGCGGATACGCGGTCGCAGGGATACGTTTCGCGCGGGGCACGGGTGACAAAACAGCCCGCACCCGCGGGATCCAGGAGACCTCACCGCACGCTTCGCCACGGCACCCCGAGACATCCTCGGAGGCCGACCCGAGGCCCAGAGCCGATCGCTCCCTCCGAATCCCCACTGGCCCACCACATCAAAGGCGCCACCCTTCGCGCTCCGCGCTGCGCGCATAGCTTCGCGCTCTCGCGCCGCTCCCTTGGGGAGACGAGGAGGACGGAGCCAAACCTGGAAGCGCGAGCAACCGCGAATAGCTCCGCGCCCTCGAGGGCGCCCTTGCTCACCACACGGAGTGGTCACCGCGCCGGTTGGCCGTCCCCACAGGCCATAATGCGGGATGACGATTCATAAAAAAATGGGAGAGAACGATCAAAGCAATAGTTTTCTGCCATGTCTGCACCATTTTCTGACTGGAGGAGAACGATGAAAAAAATAGCTTTCCAGCCCGCGGCCGGTTTTTCTAATCGTCATCCCGGGCGCCGCCGCGTGAACACGATCCCCGGCGGTCATTTATTAATCGTCATCCTCCATTAGCGAAGGCCCATGCGCCTCCCAGGGCACGGCAAGTGCCAAACTCTGGAGCTGCGTCTGGCCGCGCGGCCACGAGGAGGCCTCCAGACATCCAACGACCCACGATGTCGCGAACCGGTCGGGGTGGTCAGGTCTCTTGCAAACTGATGGAAGCCAAGCCTGAGATCTACAGGGCAATCAGAAACCAGCCCGGGACGAAGAGCTGGTGCCCGGGAACGGGGTCGAGAGACGTAGGGGGCCACTCCACGAATATGTCATATGACGTCGGATGTCTGGGTACCATGCCGCCATGGAGATCGCACGCCTCGTCGTTCATTCCCGCTCTGTGACCGTGTCCTCGTCCTCGTCCTCGTCCTCGTCCTCGTCGTCGTCGTCGTCGTCGTCGTTGTCCGCCGAAATCCACCCTCTCGTGCTCCACATACTGCCGCTCACGACACGCAGCGTGCGCCTTGCAACTTCCGGGTCGGGCGAAACGGGGGGGATAGCAAAGGGGGGGCTTGAGAACCAGCTCGCGCAGCTGATTTTCCCGGCGCCTCCCGGCGCCGGGAGGCGCCCATGCATCGAGGAATGGGCCCCTCGGTGAGGCCGAGACCAGCTGCATGCAGCAGATTTCGTAGCCCCCCCTTTCCCAATCCCCCCCTTTCGCCCGACCCGAAACTTCTGAAGCTGGTGCACCACGACACGCGGGCCTCAGATGAGGTGGGCCTTCATGGCCGGCCGGTACGACTCCATGTGCCGCCGCTTCGCGTGGGCGGGCAGCTTCTGAGGCTGGCGCGCCGCGGGAGCTCTCTCTGGGAGGGTCGGCAACCTGGAACATTAGGGCGACGAAATCTATACATATCCACTGCTCCCTGGCCATGAGCATCCTGAGCCCAGCAGTGGTGTATACGCCACGCCCCTGAGTAAATTGTGAGGAAGTCTCAGGCGGGAGCCGTTGTTGTTGTAGTCCGGGGCCCAACAACGCAATCTGATCCGCAATGCTTTCCCTGTCAAAAAACAGGGTGCGAGCCCCGGAGGAAGCACTTCAATTGAAAAAAACAATGGGCACCAGACAGGGGGGATCAACAATAATTATTCTTCAGAAATGAGAGTCCAACAACAACAACAACGACAACAACAACAACAACAACAACAACAACAACAACAACAACAACAGTCCGCACCGCGGAACCTCACTCCGGCCACGCGCCCAAAGACGATGCACGACCATTCGGCTGCGCGGTTTCCCCCGGGGCCGTAGGCGACCTGAGGAGGAGGAGGAGGAGGAGGAGGAGGAGGAGGAGGAGGAAGAGGAAAAGGCGGAGGAGGGGGAGGAGATGGAGGAGTAGGAGAAGGGAGGAAACGGATGAGGAGGAGGAGGAGGAGGGGAGGGGCAGGGGGACGACGAGGAGGAGGAGGAGCAGGAGGAGCAGGGAGGAGCAGGGAGGAGGAGGAGGAGGAGGACGACGAGGAGGAGGAGGTGGAGGAGAGGACGGCTCGCCGAAGCCCTTCGTAGAATCCCTCCCTGTTCGGACCCCCGCTCCGATGACTACCTCTTGGACCTGCGCCGGCCCCCCCCCGCCCCCTCTGGGCCCCGGCGAGCGGGGCGCGCCAGCGGCGGCGCCGGAGGCGCAGAAGCCCGTGCAGAAGTCCTCGTCGTCCTCCTCCTCCTCCTCCTCCTCCTCCTCCTCCTCCTCCTCCTCCTCCTGCTCCTCCTCCCTGCTCCTCCTCCTGCTCCTCCTCCTCCTCTTCCTCGTCGTCCCCCCCTCCTCCTCCTCCTCCTCCTCCTCCTCCTCCTCATCCTCCTCCTCCTCCTCCTCATCCGTTTCCTCCCTTCTCCTACTCCTCCATCTCCTCCTCCCCCTCCTCCGCCTCTTTTTGGACGAAACATGTAAACTTTGAGGGATGAGAAAAACGGCCCTACCGTGGGTTACAAGTGCGCCTCCTGGGAACCCCCAAAGCCCAGAGAGCCGCCAGGACGCGGCACATCACGCAGCGTTTACCCCGGGAGTTTCAGCGCACAGCGCCTCGTAAACCGGGGCAGGGGCGTGTTTTTTGATGCCCCACAACGCTGACGTGGGCACACACCCCACCCACCACCACAGAGAGCATCCCAGAGAGCAACGAGCCAGGACATTTTGCGACAGCGCGCATACCGGTTCACTGCTGACGGTCGCGCCACAACTGGCGTGACCCACGCCGCCTGCCACCAGCTTCGGGTGGGTGGGATGGGAAGCAAAAGTGGCACAGATGCGCCCTGAGGTTCAATGCGCTAGCTCGGGCCGTCATGGCAACGGAGCCCGGAGCCCAATTTCAGGGTCACGGCGGGGAGCGCGGTGATCTTCGCGCCCGCACGGGGCCCCAGGAGGGAGGCAGCACGCCGGCCCAGGCCGCGAGGCGCGAGGCGCGAGGGCACGGTTACCGTCGCACCCCCAGCGTGTGACCAGGTATGGACACGTGCATTCACCAGGGCAGCTGATTACCAGAATTGGACAGCAGCGCTGAACAACACATGTTTGTTCTCACGGTGCGTGCCGCGGGCGCAGGGCCCCTTGACACCACCCACCGCACATGCGCCCACTACGCGTTGTGCGCTCCCTATCAAGATAGAGCGCTCTTGGAAAATAGTCAAAACATGCACAGACATGCCCCAACAAAACAATCGAGGTCGCTCCCAGACTATGTTGCGACTATCTTTCAGCATTCCTCCTGCGGACCGGGCGATCGCAAACATGGATCAAGGGGGCGTGGATTAGCGATGGGTCTCATTTCCATGGGAAATCGCGGATGTCAGCCGCCGAACGAGACGGCACCAGCCGCATTTTGGGGAGGCCACCTCCCCCGATCCATGGATTCGGTTGGCGCGCCCACGGATAGGAGGGACAGGCTCGACTTAACCCAAGCAGTTACTGCTGGCGACCAGGCGAGGGGAGACGTGAGAGTTGGGCGCCCGAGTTATCCGGGGTAATTCGGGTCCGGGGTAACTCGGGCTTGGATTCCCGAAAAACGAACCCGAGTTAGCCCTGACCCGAACTACCCCTGATGATGTTGGGACTCTGGACGCCCGAATTATCCGGGGTAAGTCGGAACCGGGATGATAAGTCGGGTTCGGAATCCCGAAACACGAACCCGAGCTAGCCCTGACCCGAGTTGCCCCTGATGATTCGGGGCTCTGCGAGAGGGCGGCCGGGTTTCTCGGAAACCCTCGCGCGAGGAGCGTCCTGCGTCTTCGGAGGAGGCCAAGGATTTGGACGCCCGAAATGGGTACCATGCCCAACAGCAAATGTTGTCCCAAAGCAACAGCGGCCGCTTTTGGGCAGGCGGCCTCCTGTCTCGAATGGACACAGGCCGCGGCGGCGTGGACAGCGAGCCCTGTTCAAAATGAAGAAGATCCGCTGTTGGGCATTGTACCCATTCTTTCAGTACCCATTTCGTGCGTGCAGATCTTCGGAGGAGGCCAAGGACAGCTCGCAGAACGTGGCGGCGCGCGCAAGGGTTAGGCCGGGCGTGGCCTCCTGCAGGCGGCTCCTGGACGGAAGAATTTGAGTACCCTCCTCCCTCCTCCCTCCTCCTCCTCCTCCGCCTCCTCCTCCTCCTCCTCCTCCTCCTCCGCCTCCTCCTCCTCCACAAAATACACAAACATAGCAGACATAGTGAGGCAATCATGCCCAGACAATTGAGTATGTTCAGCACTCCTCCTGTAGAGAAACAGCCCCGATGTAAGACAAGGGGGTGGAAGGACGGGGGGGGCGTCTTGGAAGGAGGCAGCTTGTTAGAAACCGCCGGCCTTGCATCTATATAGGGAAGGCCCGCGCCTCTAAGAAACAGGGGGGGTTCTAAGAAGCCTTCCCCCCTCCCCCCACACCCCTCTGCGCATGGCCGGGGGAGGCTTGGACAACTTCGCAAAAGGCCGGGGGACGTCCGAGCCTGCTGAGAAGGTCCGGCCCTTCTCGTTTTCCTCTCGGTGCCGCCACCGAAGGACGGTAGAGGAGGGGGGGGATACGCCGTGGCCTTGGTGGTCACCGTGGGGTCGTACGGCACTGAGGACAGCTGGCTCTTGGTCATCTGGCTGAGCTGGATCTGGTCGTCGAGCTTGAGGACCTCCCGCGGAAGCCCTGGGACGCTGTGCGTACCACGCAGAAACAAGTACTGATACCATGCGCCCTCATGGGATGCGCACGTCCGACTTGGATTCACCTATACACCCCGTAATTGTGGATAAGAGTGAAGGGTGCGGGGGGGTCGCGGGGTGGGTCGCGGGGTGGATCGCGGGTGGGTCGCGGGAGGGACGACGCAACAAACCAACGACAATAATCCTCGCCGTCTCGCCGTGGATCCCCAGTTCAGCCACGCACCCATGGACAGTGAATGACCGCTCGGGCCCCCCCAACTCTGATAATGCAACCACGTTTCAATATAATGTGACCCGGCAGCATGGACAACCATCGCCCGGCACCAAAAATATGCCAAACAAAAATCTGAACGCACGCGCCCTCCCCTGACAACGAGCTCAAACTGGGGGCCCGGCTCCGGACTCACTGGCACAACCACGCTCACATGGTTTCCAGGTTGAGCCCGAGTGGAGAGATGTTCAATAACTGACTCAAGACGTGGACGTTTTTTGTTGTTTGTTATGCGCGGTCCACCACTCTGCTGCGAAAGGAAGGGACAGAGAAAGAGAGAGGGATATAGAGAGGAGGAGGAGGAAGAGGAGGAGGGGGGCGAAGAAGAGGAAGCGGAGATGGACGAGGGGGAGGAGGAGGACGAGGAGGAGGAGAGGGAGGACGAGGAGGAGGAGGAAGAAGAGAAGGGGGGGGGAGGAGGGGGGGGGGAGGAGGAGGAGGAGGAGGAGGAGGAGGAAGAGAGGAGAGGGGGGGGGGGGAGGAGGAGGAGGAACAGAGGAACAGACCGAGCGCACCCAGGTGCATTGTTCGGGCGATGCCAAGTGCATTCTAGCCCTGACTATGAGCGGCGCTTGCAGCGGCAGGCGCAGAGGCAGCTGGAATCTCTTCCGCGGCCATGCCGCGGGTAGCTGCGCGCAGAAACTTGGTGAGGCCATCGCGCCCAGCGTGGGCGCGCGTGTATTCTCCTTTGACTGTTTTGGCGTGATTATCTCGCCCTTTCTTGGTGATTCGCGTGCAGGGTGCGGCAAGGTGGCGTGGGTCCTCGGTTGCCGTCTTGCCGCGCCCGCGGCAGAAGTACAGGCGGTACTTCTGCATGAAATGGAGCTTATGGCTGGCGTGCAGCTCGCGCCCAGAAGTGGTGATAGTGCCCTGTACTGGCACTATCTGGTCACTGGCTGACGGCAGAGGCGGCTGGTGGGTGCACGGCGTGGCACAGGCCTGGCGTACTTTACACTTGTCTGTGGTGAGCCCGCAGCGGGAGCACAGGTACTTGCCCGCTCTGAGCTCAAAGGCGTGCTGGCTCGATTGCATGGCTAACTGCAGCTTGGTGAGGCGCGGGCCTTTGGCCTGCGAGGGTCGCTCCGCGACCCACGGATCAACTGAAAGCGTGTCAGTTAGGGCACGGCGCGCCCTCCTGCGGACGAGGGCGCACTGGGCATCGTGCAGGTCAGTGGGAGGGGCCTGTCGTATACAAGCGCTGCCTCGTAAGACTGTTGGGCCGCTACACCTGCCCATGCATCGGCCGTCGCGTTGCCGATAGTGTGGAAGTATCGCACAGGGTCTGAGGCTAGGCCAGGTGACTCCTCGCTGTGTGAGGGCACCCAGATCTCAGTGAGCTGGCTAGTGCCACGTGCACGACTTGCCTTGGCATTTCGTGCCCACATGTCCTGATTTGCGCCATCGCTGGGGCGCAAGTGTCGATTCGTCCGCCATCCGTCGTGCAGCGGCAGGTGGTCTGTAATGAAACAGAGGTCGCCCTTCCAGTGTTCTAGGGCGAGCGCGAAAGCTAGCAGCTCTGCACGGGGCACGGTTTGACAGGGGCCCTCGAGGCCCGACATTATTCCTCCCCAGGGGACCCACTCCCCGAAGAGGCACTTCATAGCAGCACAGGCGGTCCCCACTCTTCGGCGACGTGGGTCATCACTGTACTGACCTCCGGAACCGTCTCCGAAGAGGGCGAGGGTGCCGTCGCTACTGACGCAGCCCCCCCAATCCCGCCCAACCCAGCTCCACCCGCCGCCCCCCCCCAACGAAGCAAAGAGCGGGTGCGTGTCAGCGCGCGCAGGCAGGCCACGGAGCCAGTAGGCGGGAGCAGCCTCTGCTCCAGCCAGGGCAGAGGGCAACAGGGCGTCAGAATCCGTGTAGTCCTCGTGGTCGCGGTTGCAGGGGCACAGCCAGACCCTGTGCATGAGCGTCTCGTCGGCCTCTCCGCATCTCGGACAGGTTGGAGTAGCGTTGCACCCCGTCTCGAGTCGGCTTCTGGGCCATTGCGCCCCCGCGACCACGCACAGGTTGAGGGCCGACTGGTCGTGCTGGCCCTTCCTCGTGAACTGCCCCGTCTCGTTGGCAACTATGTGGACGTCTGGGCCCCCACGTTGCAATCCTTCTCCATGTGGATGTTTGGCAGCGTCCTTCCAGAGGCTCCTCTCGAAGGACAGGCAGAACTCGTGGACGAACTCCGCAGGGTCCACGTCGTAGCGCTTGTCCTCCCAGTCGGCTTGTCCACTGTGAGGTAGCTGCCACTCCTGGGCATGGGTCTCGCCTGCCCAAAGTGGTCGTGACCACTCCGTTGGCGTCGGGCAGGTCCAGCCAGCGTCCAGGAGGACGGCCTGGATGGCGGAGATGGGGCCCATGACCTTCCTCCACTTCCTGTTGCCGCGCGTGATCTACTTGTTGTAAATCAGATTCCACGCCTGCGTGACCCGCATGTGGTGTTCTGGGTACTGCGTCCAGAAGTTGAGCCACTCGGCGATCGACTGGCACCTGAGCTCGATGGCAAGGTCCTTCTTCCTCATGGCGACGGCCAGGGCTGTGGAGAGACAGCGGCCAGGGACCTTCCCCGCAGAGGCCTGGATGGCCTGGCGCCTCTGGTCGAGGATGGCCGCTGGGGCGAGGCCCATGATCTGGTGGCCGTAGGTCCCCTGCGGCCTGGGGCCCGTGTTCCACAAGCCCTTCGCGATCTTGGCGAGGGAGGCGTGCTTCCTGACCTTGGCGACGATGCGGTGAGTGCGCCTCCTCGCAGTCTTGGCCCTCTTGGTGGCCTTGGCCACGACCCGTCTTTTGGCGCCGCCCACGTCGATGCCGAGGTCGACCGCGCTGTTGGCCACCTCGACGTAGTAGCCCTTCTGCTTGAGGCCGTCGTGCACTGCGTAGGCGATCGTCTGGTTGGAGGCGACGACGGTGGTCTTGGGCGAGACCCGAAGCCCCGCGCCCGTCATGCCGGCGCAAAAGTCGGCGCCGACGCCGATCAGATCCTTGACGACCTGTTTGGTTTGGCCCTCTGTTCTCGCGACCGCGTCGTCCGCGAACGTCCACAGGCCCGCGTAGGTGTGGTTAATGTGGGCCCTCTGCAGGATCGGCCCCAGGTAGACTTTGGCGAGCTTACCGCCATTGCAGCTGCCCGCGGCAATGGACCTCTCGTCATCTATGATGTCGCTGACCCAGCCGTGCATGCGCAAGTACCTGGGCGCCAGGTAGAGCTGCACCTGCAGCGCCACGACGATCGGGGGGAAGTTCACCCCGATGGCGGCGTCGAAGAGGAGCGCGTAGCAGACCGAGTCGTAGAACTTCTCTACGTCCATCAGCAAGGTCGCGAAGGCGATGCCAAAGGTCGCTGCCGTCAAGTCGAGCAGCGCCCTGACCAGCGCTGCTCTTAGGGCGCTGGAGCCTTTGATGGCGGTGTCCCAGAACCCCCCGAGCTCCTTGGACCACTCGTCGGTGACGCTGGAGCGGACCCTGGCCCACGTCTTGGGGATGGTGGGGAGCATGCCCAAGATTCTCTCTCCACCTGCGGGCTTGGGGGCCATGGCCCCAATGGTGGCGCGGAGCTGCTGCGGCCGCAGTCCGTTGGCCTCCGCGTGGTTGTAGATGTCGGCGAGCTCCTGGATCCCTTTCTCGGGTAGCCTCTGGATGTCGATGGGGCCGATGTTGTGGACTCCTCTCGCCTTCTTCGGGTTGGCGGTGCCCACGATGGCTTGCACGTGCTGCGGCTCGATGGGCGAGAGAGGGTCCTCTTTCGCAAGTCGCATGGCCTTCTCGTAGGCGCTGATGATCTGCTTGGCGTTGTAGCTGTCGGACGCCCACATGGAGCGCCAGGTGTCGGCGGAGTGGTTCATGACCGTGGATGGGTCGCCCACCGTCCTGTGGGGCTGCTTGTCCTCCAGGCGCGGCGCCTTGGGTTCGGTGACCATGCGGTGCAGCTTGCCTGGTGACTCCTTCCACGCCAGCTTCGCCCAGTCGAGGTGCCGTTTTCGTTCTCTACCTGCAGCTCTCGCCATGGCCTTGTGGGTCCACTCCATGGTGGTGGCGCTGATGTGGTGCAGGTCGTCCTCGTCGCAGTACTCGAGGGTGGCGAGCTGGGTCTTCCACTCTTCGATCTCCTGCGGGTCGGTTTTGCTACCGAAGTGCTCCTTGGAGAACTCGGGGTTCTCTAGGTCGTCCAACTTCTTCATGACTGTGTTGTGGATGTACTGGCGGGCTTTGGGGTCCTTGCCGTTCGTGACCAGCGCGGTGTACCTCACGACAAGGGTGCTGAGGTGCTGCCACCAGGTGGCCTCGGGGTCCTTGAGGCAAGGCGACGCCTTCATCGTCTGCTTGGTGGTCCTGTACCCCTCTGCCCTGCCCTGGTACCTGGCCCTGTCCTCGTCGGGGACCGCATGCGTCTCCAGGAAGGCGAGCTCCAGGGTCGCGATCCACTGCGCGTACTTCGAGTTGATGTCCTCCGCGAGGTTCGGCTCGTGGAAGATGTGTCCTCTGTCCTCCTTGGTGCCGACCTTTGTGCCATCGAACATCGGGAAATTGCTGACCTCGTCGGCGGCGTCGTCCCAGTTCTCCTGGGGGATGGCGAAGGGGGTGGGGTCCTCCTTGGCCGTCTCGCGGTTGGCGTACAGGGCGTAGAACTCGTCGCGCAAGTGCTCTGGTAGCCTTCCCTCCTGGTTCGCAACGCCTCCGCACGAGCCTTGGACCTTTTGCCATTTG